TAACTATTTTTAACTATTCTATCACTCTCATTTCAACAGGTCATTTAAAACTTTCTCCATTTGCCACGTGTTGGATTAAACAAATCCAAGTTTACTCTTCTGAGCAGTTGACTTGTGTTTTGTAAGTTGGAATTTGAAATGTTCCCACTAGGTTATGACTCAAATCTTTACTCTACATGTTGTCATTTAAACTGTTCATGTTGGTGTTTAAGTTGTACATGAGCTGTGACTGATATGGTATGTCATTATGTTATGAGTGAGTGCCTATCTGGTTGTGCTTTTGCTACAAGATGTCAGTTTATGGTCATAGCATACTTGGACTACTGTGTTTAGGATGTAGAGTTTGAATCCTCTTGCATCTGAATGTAGCAAACCATGTCTGACAGGAGAGACATTATTGTGAGTCCTCAGAGTTTACTTATTTTACTTTGTTTGCTTTAATTGTATGCAAAACCAAAATGTCTAACATTGCAGACTTCTATGTTGTAGTCCTGACGTGCGAGTGTGTAAATACTGAGTACAATCATCGGGATCTTGTTTTTTGAGAGCGAAGCAGATAAATTGAAGATAAGTGTAGTTTCTAAAGAACATGTATCATCCTTTGTAAGTTAACCATCTGCATGTCTTCAAGCCACCTGGCGTTAGCTAATAATAGTTTTTAAGATAAGAGGAAAACACATTTCTTTACACATTTTATTTTTTACAATGTATTTGCTTACCTGAATGTCCCAGACAATAATGTGACCCTTTTTGTTACTTCAAATGTTTTTATTTTCCATTGTTTTTGATGATTTCTTTGTATTACATATACTGTAGGTGATTCATAACAAAAAGAAAAAAAATTAAAATTGAAATATATGTTATTTGAAAGTTTATGGACCTTTTAACCGTGACCCAGGAAAATTGTATAATCATATAATTTGAGCTGACTTGACGGTTATGACAAATGTATCAAGAGTTGTATTTGTTATGGTTGTTTAATAAAGTGTTGTTTTTGGGTTTCATTTCTTTACTGTGGCGGGGAAATGTGTTGTCTTCGCCACACAGGGGCAGCAGAGATGGCTGTGTATTGTGCGGTTCAGATGTGTTTGTATTCAAATCTGTAAAACTGCAGGAGGTTAACAGACAGTAAAGCCTGGATTTGATATTTAAAGTCGATACTGTTGCATGTTTTGTTTAAAATGTGTTAAGATTTTTAATTATAAGGTTTTTAAAGTAAACGTAGTTTTCTCTGTTTGCTTTCATTATATACATGGAGCTGGGTGGGGTTACAGTTGTTCTCGAGAGCATGTGTAACCCAGCTTGATGATGTTGTAAAACTCCAATGTTGGTTGTTTTTGTGTATAGTTATTCAGCAATGTGGTCAAAATGGAGGTTGTTTGGAGAATTTGTAGGTTACAGTCAACCCTTGTGCGGTGCTTTGCATTGTTGTACACACTGTTTGTTTTTGCAATTGTAGCAGTACGAGCGTTTTTGTCTTGTTTTTCCTTTCGCTCTTTCTGTTGACCTCACTTCTGCCAGTCGTTGAGGTGAGCCGGTAATAAACGGTAGTCCGCCCACCGGGTCTTCCTGTGCGCTCCCATCGTCACCCGTGTTACTTCCGGGTTAGAGGTCGTTTTTGTTCTTATACTTAAGGTATTTGTAACTGTTATTGTAGGACGACTGTTTGTGTGCTGCTCCGTGCTCCCTGTGTGCTGCTGTGGTCGTTAGTAGTTGTGGCAAGCAAATGCAGAGGTGTAGTCCAGTTGTTTTTGTGGTGAGCAAACTGAGAGGATTGTCTTGATGTTGTTCTTGTAAGTCCACAGTCCTGTTTTTGGGGCATGACAAGGTCCTGGGGTGAGTCCTGTCTGTCTGGGGGAGAGA